ACACATAAAAATATTATTTGAGAGCCCAAATTAAAAACACATGTTTGAGTAAATATTATTACTTTCTAAACTTTTAAAATAGATAATCTCTCCAGGATGTATCTGTTAAGTCATTTATCTGAAATACTACACTGTCTACCTATGGAGGAGCCCTGGTGTTGCAGTGGTTAAACGTTTGACTGTTAACCAAAGGAAGGCAGTTCTGATCGACCAGCCACTCCCTGCAAACCCTACAGGGCAGTTCTACTCTGTCCTATAGAGCTGCTACGAGTCGGAACAGACTTGACAGCAACAGGTTTGGTTTTGGTTTTCTACCTATGGATAAATGATGTACTTATGATATGTCTACCACAGGCACAGTTCATCTTAAGATTAACTAAAAGTAGAAAACTGTGCATCTGAAAATTTTGAAGAAATCTAAATTTAAGTGTTTACCTGGTGACAGACATCAATTGCATCCACATATTTTTTCCCTTTTAAGTAATTAAATGCCAGTTTGTATCCTGTTAAGACAAAAATAATAAAAATATTATTTATAGAGCACATTGCTAGTATTACTTTTTCCCCGCCTTCCTTAGTTTGTTTACTCATTAGAGGACTCTTAAGAGAGGCTGGTGACTGAACTATGATAGAGAGAAGCGATGTGACAATATAAGGTGGACTGGCATAAAAGTAGAAGAAGTAGAAAAGACAATGAAGTTGGAACAAAGGACAGCCATGGATACACCGTAGGGTTAGAAGACTGCCGTAACTGTCTATAACTTATTAGAAGTCTCATTTATTTCAGATCACAGTAAAAACTCATCATAGGGCAGTAAATGACAATATAGCTACTCAATTATGCAGTGAAGATTTCTTCAACACTTAACATGTCCGGCAAACTGGTTCCTACAGTCATGAGGTATACAATCTATTAGCAGAGAAAGACATTACTTAAATAATTACATAAGTATTTGTTTAATTTCAAAACTGAGATAAATGCTATGAATGAGAGATACAAGCCAAGAAGCTTTAATAAAGAACGTTGTTGGGGCAAGAATGGGTTTCAGGGGATGTCTGAGATCTGAAGGATGAGGCATAAATCAGGCCAAGGGGTTGGGAACGAAGGACACTTTCAGGCAGAGCAAACTG